TGTACATCTGAAATTAATTGTTTAGATAATTTGGTATATTGGGATATAGAATGTGTAAGACCGGCAGTTCCAGTAGCTACAGCGGCAGGAATTCCTAATCCAGCGAGTAAAGGAATAAACTGTATAGCTCTTTTTACTTTTCCTGCTATGTGCTCAAAAGTAGGAATGGGTACAGGCTCAGTTCCCGTTATAACATCAACATCGGGAAGAAGAAGAGCCAAAACACATAATCCTGTCCAGTTAGTGGGCAGTTGAGTATAAGCTCGATTGCTACCACAAACCAAAACTGAACTATTATGAGCACATAAAGGGGTAGAAACATTGATTATTGATTGACAATTTGCAAAAGCTGCAAAGCCTACATCAATTTCAAAACTATTATTAACAGAAGGAGAGAGAAAACAAGTGACTTTATAAAACTGCATGGGCTGCACTTGCAAGGGAGTAGTTAAAGAACATCGACTGTTGGTCGAGTAATTAAGGGATAAATATGGAAAAGCCACAGGTATAGGTTGTCCCATGACCAAGCACAGCCAGCAGTCTTGAGCAAGGTCAGGATTACTTGTATTAAGCAATTTATTAGTAGCATAAAGGAGATGAGAGGTCTGAGGATCTAGATTCAATTCACCTCGGTTTTCTGGCAAAGCTAATGGATGATAGGTAAGTTGAGGAAATAGGGTATCATGCATTTCCTGTATATATATATTTCTTCTACTTTAAGGGTTCTAGTTTGATCTTGTGGTCCACCTCCATCAGACATATAGACAGAGGGGGTAATAGACCAGCATATAGGCTTCCCTATGGGTCCTTAAACAGGGAGCTTGAGCATATTTATTAGAAGCAAGCCCCACCGTGGATGGAGGGCCAGCAAGATCCCCTCCAAATGTTCCTTCATAATTTCTGGTTAGGATAGCAGTGAAATATGTCTGGTTATCTGAAATACACAATTGATATGAACCATAACAGGTACTATGTAATGTTTCAACAAATGATTGACAGGGACAAGGCTTAGGGCCATCACTGTCAGTGGGTGTAAACTGTGGCTTATCTACACAACTATAGGCAGGAGATGTTGGAGCCAGATAAGCCAAATGTGCTCCACAATCAACAACAGCTATGTATGGTGAGGGAGGACTGAGAACAGTACCCCCTTTTCAGTCACAAGGCTTGCCAGCACCAGATCGAGAATCTGTAATTCTAGGAGAATCAGTTAATAACGTTCTATAACCTGTAGAAACACAATGTTTAATAGGAGGAACATTAGGAGAAGAGAAACATAAAGGCATTTTCTCAGTGGAAGCTGAAAAATTAAAAAGTTGTGAAAAATGAGGTTTTTCATAAATCTTAGGCTCTCCACCTAAGAGGCAAGAATGGTTAGTTGTTACTTTTATTTCTTCCAGGAAGCCAAATGGAACAAAGGAGAGAGAGAGAGTTAGGGTTTGTTTTACAATAAGGATATTGCAAAAACCTAT